GATGTGAAAGAGAAAGGGAGAGAGAGAGAGAGAGAGAGAGAGAGAGAGAGAGAGAGAGAGAGAGAGAGAGAGAGAGAGAGAGAGAGAGAGAGAATCTACGGTGAAAAAGGTCTAGCAATTGATGGAGGTGGTAACTGATTATCGTCTACTTTGGTTTTGTCTGATACGAAAGACAATGAGCATAATAAGGAAAACGTGAAAAGAAAGGGTACGTCAAATGTGTGAATCTGAAAGCACAGGGATGCGACCATTGTTCACATGTACAACAACAAACATGACAGGCAATCGTATGACAATCACAGAGGCATATCACTCTTGTCTATAACCGGTATGTTCCGGACCCGAATTCTTTGTTTAATCGCCTGTTGAAGCATCTCCTTCAGATGACACTTTGCCTAAAAGCTAGTGAGGCTTCAGCATTGAAAAGGGGATAGAAAACATTATCTTTTAGGCGAAACAGATTCAGGAAAATATACAGAGGAGAATAAATACATGACAGTTGATGATCTAATAAAGGCCTTTGAAAGTGTTGATTGGGAAGGATATAGTATATGCAAAATCCTGGTTAAGTACGGTTGCCTGACAAAGTTCATTGCTTTGGTTTGCCAATTTCGTGACGAAACGAAAGCCAGTATCAACAGCGATACCCCTGTTTGTTGAAATTTGGAATCCAAAAAGTCGTAACTCAAGATACGACACTTTGTCTTCAACATCTGACTGTCGTAACTGGTGGTACTACAGTTTGCTTGCAAGTTTCGAATTGCAGTTTATCGTAACTCATCATTACGGGAAAAGTGGCATATGCAGCCATGAGCTCATTAGAAGTACGAACGTGGACTGTACTTTGATGCTCACATGCAAAAAATGAAACCGGTATCTCTAACCGTTTGTAAATGAAACAGTTTTTTCGTCTCCTGAAAAGTAGCAAATTTTAGATGCGACTTTTTGGAATCGTACCCTCGATATTTTGCCTGAAGCCTTTTGTGCAGAAAATGGGATGAAGTAGGGCTCTGTGTTGGTATCTACACTCTTTAGCATCATGTTCTCACCGATGATGCATGGAATATTCCAGAGCTTACCAGCTAGTGATGATAATATCAGGCACTGACAGGATGGTAGAGTGTTTAACTCCCGTAGGCTGAGGTGAAGATAGATTTTAACTATTATTGTGCATTGCCTGACATGTACGTAGAATCCAGGGTGCAAACTATGAGTATGATGTAGTTTTGCCTCAAATGCATGTGAAAACTTTTGAATCAGAATAAGCACATTAAGACAGGAGTTCTAAATGATATAAATTGTGATATGAGAAATCATTTACATTAACTCGTTAGGAATGTAGCTGACACAAATAAATTATGTCCGATTAGCGGCAAATCAAAGGCAATGTTTCATCCCATAAATTTCATACCGTCTTCCATAATCCATTTCAAAAAGAATTTGAGAATTTCACATCACGCATATCGTTGCCTGCCGTTTTAAAGTTACAGACAAAGAAAACACGATAGCAAAACCTGTATGTGTGAATGTCCAAGTTATTTTACTGTGCTCCAAAACAGTGCGTCTGCATAGGTTCTCGAATGACTAAAACATGGGTGGTTGGCGGGTGCTCTGGTGTGTGGTCTGCTCCTCCTTTCTTATCAAACATCTATTGTCCTTTCCTGATCTCTCCTCCTTTGTGTGTGTTTGTTACGCTTTGGTAAACACCTCTAATCGTCGGCATACACATGACCTAATTGTGTTGCAAGTGCTGAAAATGTCTACAAAAGCAACAAAAAAAAATAAAAGACTAAAACGCACGTCCTCAGTGACTTAAAACAAACCAAAATACAAACCAAAAAATCAAATCAAAACAAATTTTAAAAAAAGCAAAATAAGAGCAAATATGGAATAAAAAACGCATTCTCACCTTATCCATAGCTACGACTCGGAACCCGTGACCGTGCATATGTGTTGGGTGGTTAGCGTTCCACGGGTGACCCTCATCCACTAGGAGGATTTCCACCACGTCATCAAGGTCCACCTTAAGCACGTGAATGCATTCACAGAACTCTTCAGTACAGTTCAGCGTCATCGTGTCATTATTGCAGAACATCTCCTACAAAAAGTTGGGGGAAAGTAAAATACAGTCGAAATTCTCCAAGACGGCCATCTATTGTCAAGCAGAAAGGTGGCTGTTTTCGACACTTATTGTTTTGGGTAGTGTTATTATAACACGTTTGAAAAAAAACCCAACCCCAAAACACATCCCAACCCCCCCCCCTGCCTCCTAAAAAAACAACAACATCCAAACAACAGCAGCAGCAACAACAACAACAACAACAACAGCAACAACAACAACAACAACAACAACAACAACAAAAACCCCTAGCGCATAGGGGGGGGGGAGGAGTCTAGAGCTTTCGTCTGTAGAGATAATTGTCTTGGATAGGTGGTCGTTAGATCAGGTTCTACTGTACAACCTTCCATGTCTTTGCGCACGCCAATGATCACAGCTAGCCGTTTCCTTCCTGTTCCGGTTGGATACAGCACCAACTCCACTATAACCTACACGGTGACCCTGGATCTGCTTACGAATTCACGCCAGTCCGAAAAGGGAGTTCAAGCTCATCTTTTAACCGAAAGGTGGTTAAAGGTTAACTTAAGCTGCAGTAGTATGAAAGTTGTTGCCTGCCTTTCTGTGCTTTATCTTTTTAAAGCGTGATTGAAAATTGAAAATAAATAACGAAGATACAGTTCTCTTTATCAAGTGCTCGAACACCTCACGCCTTTAAGCATCATTGAATAACCAGAATAAGCACCCTCAATGAATTAAACATTTTTATCTTCGGTCATCAAGACCTCAGAGACACAACACATAATGATACGTTTAATTGATTATTTAAGCCTCAATAATTTTGGTTGGAGTGTGTTAGCGTGTGCTGATGTGTCTTGATTTTAATGCAGTCCGTATGTGTATTAATTAAAACTAATATAATATGGCAGAGAAAGCTCTTCCTTATACGGTTAAACCTTTTTCTCTTGTGCATGCGGAGATTTTTTCTTGTGTGCATGTGTGGGGTGAGGGATGTGTATGTATGTGTGTGTTAGTGTGTGTGTGTGTGTGTGTGTGTGTGTGTG